TCCTTTGTGCGTAAATTCGTTTCGGTTTTATTGAGATCCAACATTAGATATTATCTGGAAGATCTCTCGCGTCTTATCGTCAAATAATATTCACACCAAGTACTAGAATAGTGTATCTTTCGTCTACAGTTGACAAGTAGTATCTCTGTCAAGTTTTAGGGGAAAAACTACTTATTATTTCAAGCCCTCACAGCTTTTAAGTAAAAACTTTATCAATTACCCTTTCTTATATTCTAAAATAAATAAATATCATGCCACCTAAAACTCGTACCAAATTTTGATAAAACCTTAGTTCGCAATTTCTTGTGGACTTTCAGAACCTGTTTCAGGTTTTGGAGTAACAGTTTTCTTTCACACATATTATATATGATTTAACTCTTATTAGATTTCCCTTTCACACAACGAGCTAACTACTGTCTTCATTAGTATCGTGATTGAGTAAGGCCCAGGTTAACTTCACCCAAAACTACTGGTTAATTATTTTTAAAACAGTTATCACTTTTGTGTATAAAATATGTCATGTAGTAAATTACTTACAAGAGCCGTAGCTAGGGGTGATAGTGAAATGTCACTCCCCCCACCCCCACCAAACAAATGCCGTCTACTAAATTAATTCTAGATTTATTTTAGAATTGGCCTCCTTATATGACTCACCCCCCACCCCCACATTAAGAAAAGCTGGAGGTGGGACTGTAAAAACGTATTACTGTAATACTTTATATGTGTTAAGCAGGGTCAGCTCGTGAAGTAGAATAGTATAAGCATGTTATAGCCTAACGCCAGTCTGTCAAAATTTTTATTAAATTAAATTCAGAATTCCAGCGAACTGAATACGATATACGTAATCTATAAGAATGTTCATAACTTCATAAATGTTAATGGTTCATTCTTAATGTTAATGACGCTATCTCGAACTGATCATTCAAGTTTGAGGAAGATATAAATCTAAATTTCGTCCTGTCAACGAAAATGAAACGATGCTTCGTCTCTTGTCCCGATGTTGCTGTTTATTAGTACTCACATATCGGACAGAGCCCGACATTTTTTACATTATATAATGCATAATTTATCTCACCGCTTCTTTAGTAAAAACTGTATCAATTAACCTTGGTCATATTCTAAAATAAAGAAATACGTTTTTTGTTTGTTATGAATTTCCCGCAAAGCTACACGAGGGCTATCTGCGCTAGCCGTCCCTAATTTAGCAGTGTAAGACTAGAGGGAAGGCAGCTAGTCATCACCACCCACCGCCAACTCTTGGGCTACTCGTTTATCAATGAATAGTGAGATTGACCGTCACATAACGCCCCCATGGCTGAAAGGGCGAGCATGTTTGATTCGAACTCGCGACCCGCAGATTGCGAGTCGAGCGCCCTAACCACCTGGCCATGCCGGGTCAAAGAAATATGTAAGACCCATTCCAGATTTTGATAAAGCCTTCATTTACCATTTCTCGTTGTCTTTCAGAACCTGCTTTAGGTTTTGGGGTAAAAACGGCTTTTCATACATATATATCGTATCCATCAGTATTGTGTCTTAGCAAGGTCTAGGTTAGCCTTTATACGAAACTACCATACAAAAAAAAATGACACTCAGAGATTATAGAAAACTTAACACATTTCCGACAGGGCTCGACATATTACAATTCTGCAATAACTCTATTGAAATTTTCAAACAAAAAGCTTTAATTCGTCCTACCACATTAGATAATTCAGGAAAACAAAGATGAACAAAGTAAGAAACTAAGAAAAGAGAGAGAGAGAGAAAAAAAATACTATACCAACTGTTCAAGACAGACAGACATCACAGTTAGTTATAATTGTTTCCCTCTTCGTTTCTTTATCTTTGAACGATAAATCGAAAGTTACAATTCTTTTTATATAAATATATATATATTTATTGTAATTGTTTGTAATTAAGCGCAAAGCTACACAATGGGCTGTCTGTGCTCGGCCCACCACGGGTATCGAAACCCGGATCTAGCGTTGCAAGTCCGCAGACATACCGCTGTGACATTGGGGGGGCGGGCGTATATTTTAATACAATAGTTTTTATTTCAAAGAACTGAAGGATGATGTTCAATGATCTCTAAAGATGAGATATAAATTATTGTTAAAACCAATAAATCATGACAGAAATGTAAACATTATTCAAGTTACATGTTAGGAAAAACAAACAGGCCAAATGAGTAAGAATTGTGAAGTTGCTGATAAAAAAAGCTAACTTCTTAAAGTCACATAATTAAAATAAATGTAATGATACTTATAAAGTTATGTAAAAATGAACATAAAAGACAGAGCTAATTTTTCACGAGTGGATACTTATTTAAAAATGTATGCTTTCGACACTAAATCAAATGGGTGTTGATGTGTTGTTAAGCGCAAAGCTACCACCACGGGTATCGAAACCTGACTTTTAGCGTTTATAAGCCTTCAGATTTACCGCGGTAGTATTATGAGCATATAGGTTTTTACAGATTCAGTGGCCAGAAAGATATACAGGTTTTCTGATTACTTCATTTTTTTCCAACAAATAGCTACCGGGAGACCAAGTGAATTTGAGAATCTCAATAACAAGGTATTAGAAACACATAACATTGTGAGAATGTTTAAATCAAAACTAAGACGATGTAAATATTTAAGAATTTCAGATTCCAAACAGTTCAGGATTTATAAACACATGGAATAAATTTAGGGCTAATGTACTAAAGTGTACTTCCACAGGGTCTCCGAAATAAAACCGAAATTAAGAGAAACAAATATTTCTATTTCTCGTTTTTAAAGTTCATATGTCATGCTGTGTTGAAGCCTACAGAATGCATAATTCTTCTCGTGATTCATGGCATGCGCACGTTTTACTGATGTTACGACAGTACAAATTGCAACGTTAAGTGTCCCTTATGTGACGTCATTTTAGTGCCTGACTGACAAACAAAACACTTCTATATAGTGGTGTGAGAGGTTAAAACAGGAGACCCCTCCATGCGGCCTTCGGCCACCTTTCGGAGAAATAAGTAATTATGATTAAAATAAAGTGAATCTAATGTGTATTTATAAATACAAAAAAAACCACTAATAATGATAATAATAATTCAAGAATGCTAGCAATAAAGTGATAAATATCAAATTAAATGCATTATAAGGGTTAAAATACAAAATACTGTACACATCACAAAATGAGTATTTGTGGGTGACTGACAAAACATCTTACTATAAGGATGATCCATCAAGAGTGTGTGTGTGTGTGTGTGTGTTAGCATCCATCACTCAGAGTTGGCTGGCTCGATTACCGAAATTTGGTTGTCTGAGAACTGGAAACTAACTGACGGTGGTGTACGTGGTTTGTTTTTTTTATTTTAAGATCGTTGCCCGAGGAGAAAGATTAAAATCCTCGAAAATAGGGTACATTTCCACTTTTTTTATAGGCTTTTCGCTTTGAATTTAGAGACACGAGTACTTAATCAGTTAAATAAGTCAATTATTACCTTCTACAAAGCAGAGTATGCAATTAGCATCTAATGAGGGCCTTACGGGTTTAATAACAAAAGAAAGAAGGTAGAAGAGCATTATCTAACGTCTGTTATACAATTTTTACTTCTTTAACGGGTACCCTCAGCTAGTTTAAATAAAAGCTGCCTTAAAAGCAAAGTTTTAAACTTTAATCCAGTAACCAGTAGTTAAGCCTTTCTCGATTCTATCGACTAGTGATAAACCCTTACAATACCGTATATGTGGAATTTACACATCATTCAAAAACGACACACAGAGCTTATAGAAACGCTACTTACAGAATACGTCGATGTACAACTACAATGTTTTTTTCTTTGCTTCAACTTTTAAGCCTAAAACTTAAAGTAGTTTTATTGCTTACGGGAAAAACAATGTTTTTAAATGAAAGAGTAAACCATCTCAGTGACTCAGATAATCTGTGACAAACGCCTGTTTTTACTTTTGTTTTGTAGAATATTTAAAGAAAAAACTTGCTAGAAACAACAAAATTATGATCGAATTGGAATAAAATTTGAAGCAAACTGTTATTTTTTTGCGAACAGCAACTTAAATCAAAACCCCCACAAGAAATGAAGTGTTTTACAAGTTTCTAAATATGTCATCAAGAAAAATGCCATCTTTGTTTTAGGAGGAAGTTGAAGTTGCTTTGTTTGTTTTGTTTAGAATTTCGCGCAAAGCTACACGATGGTTATCTGCGCAACCGTACCTAGTCCACTACCAATCCTTGGGTTATTCTTTTACCAACGAATAGTGGGATTGATTGTAACATTATGACGCCCCAACGCCTGAAAGGGCGAGCATGTTCGGTGACGGGGATTCGAATCCTCGCCCCTCAGAGTCGAACGGTAAAACTGTACTTTCAAAAATCACTAGAGGGGTTAAAAAATTTGAACTTTCAGGTAACAATGTTTTTTATATGTAAGAAATATTAATTTAAACATGTACCATGGAAACTTCAAACATCTAAACAAGGTGTTTTTTGAAGTAAAACTCATTTTTTGTCCTCCTCAACCTAGCAAATTTGAGCCAATATATCCTACAGTGAACTTAATTGAGCATTAAAGTTCTAAACATAATACTATAATGAAAATATATCTATACCATTTCATTTGTTGAACATGTTTTTATTGTTTGTTTGTTTTTAATTATGCTCAAAGCTACACAAGGGCTATCTGTGCTCTGCCCACCACGGGTATCGAAACCCGGTTTCTAGCGTTGTAAGTCCGCAGACATACCGCTGTGCCACTGGGGGGCTTGTTTTTATTGTTAAACACCAAAATATTCTTAGATCTTAATGATATACCGTATTGCTCCTAATTAACGTCCCCGGGGGCGTTGCAAAGGGGCGTTAATTATAGCAGTTGTTCAGTTCCTGATTCTATTTTTCACATTTGATTTATTGATTTCAATGCAACAAGTGTGTGTGTGTGTTTTTCTTCTTTTTTTTTCAAATCACAATTACGGTAATAAAAGTGGATTATATGTTAGATTGCTATTGCTGTCACACAAGGTAAGCTTTATAAAGAATACCGGGGGGAGGCAATAAATAGAGAGGGGGCGTTAATTAGGGGCAATATACGGTAAATTCATACGATAATTAAGGTTTGATCTTGTGTTTTCTTCAGAGATATTTGAGTGAGAAATATCAATAAATGACGACCGTAATTCTTCGTTTTACTACATTTATCGAAAACTATACCTCAGTGTTTGATATATTTAATTACCCACCGCATTTCCGTTCCATGGTTCATAAAATGTCTTCAATATCATCAGCTCAAGCTCTGATTGGCTGCTAAATTGCACTTCCCGTCAAGAACAATCAACCACAGAAACTCGGGTCAGATCTTGAGCTCCCAACCATTGTTATTCCACGCGACGCCCTTGGTTCTCGTGAAATACACCAAGGAGGTGACACATAAACTTGTTTGGTAAATACGCTATTCTTTGTTTGTTTATTTTAACTGGTTTTATAAAACCTAGTGTTGAGAAACGTCTTCCCTTTTACGTTTGGTTGAATCTGCATAATTTGTAGCAACATCTCGGACATACACGCCTGGTAGAAATGTCTCCTTCTGAATAAGCTCGATTTACCTACAGAACTGGTCGAAATTTCCTGCACGAACATTTTCTGCGTCATTCACACGTATCAACACCTTACACGTATCGTACGTGACAGGCGGCAAAATTGTGTCTTTTTTTTATTATTATTATTAGTGATAAGAATACGTGATTGGTCTCTACGCAGACTACAAAATTGAACGGCTAAAACGATCCGAAAACTAACCGGATCACATTGTTCTGTCTTTTGGTTCCAGGTCAGAAGTTCAAAAACCAGTTTACACTCATAATAACATTATTTCTACTGCTGTTAAAACTACACCAGCCATTCATTCAAATTGCAAATTTTTATTTTTACAATAAACGAAGAATAAGAACCATTGGCGACATCTATAGAGAATAATCAGCGTAAAGAATTTTTCCCTATAACACTACAGTTTCTCTTAGTATTCAATGCTGACTATAGAAGAGTTTGTGTGTGTGTGTGCGCGAGTTTGTGTGTGTGTGTGCGCGGTATATTATCGCCTGGTTTGTTTGTTGTTAAGTGCATAAGCTACACGATGGGCTATCTGTACTGTGTCCACCATGGGTATCGAAACCCGGTTTTTAGCGTTATAAGCCTTCAGACTTACCGCTGAGCCACTGGAGGGCTTAATGAGTTATAAGACTCGGAATGCAACATTTCTGATAAAGGACAACACATAACTATACATATATAAATAATATATCTAATCACATTTCAAACTAACACAAAGTGAACAAAATAAATATAAGATAAAAACCCACATCAATGAAGAACATGCATCTTTCACCAAATAATTATTATTTAATAAAATATCCAACTCAACGAAAAGTTAAAAAATAAAGAAAAAAAGCTTGTTCATGATAGTAAAAATAAAATATTAATACATGGTTCGTATCTAACAGACACGCACAAAGAAAAACGATCAAAATATCATGTCCGATAGGTGGTATAGTATATTTCCAGATGCACTATACGCATGCGCTTAGATGTTTCACTACACACATGCGCATAAATATATACTTTAGGATTCAGTTTCACTTCCATAATATACACTCCACGTAGTCGCACAGTTTTAACAAAACATTGTGTAGTAATACAACGATCAGGATTTTATGTTAACAAGATTACATACTTGTGTGACTAATCTTTAAAACGTAATTCCCAGACATCCTGTATATAGGTGATAGGGTTCCTGCTAATGAGCTAAATAACAAGTGTTCTTCGAGGTTTAAACGATATTAAGTTTAACCTAAAATAAACAAAAATGTATATTATTTATCAGTTATTAAAACCGTAAAAGTGTTTAAATACTTTTTTTTACCTAAATATTTGTTGGTGGGTTTTGTTTCGGATACTAACAGGACGCTTCGCTAGGACTATCTGTACTAGTCGCCACTAACTCTGGACTGATAAGACTAGAAATTAAGTAGGTAGTCAACGGTAACCATCGACAACTATTTGTCGGCCTATTTATTGTTAATCCCAAACATCGAACCCTAAATGCCAGTGTTATAAACCCTCAAGCTTACCACTAAGCCACTGGGCGTCACATCGCTAATTCTTGAGCCACTCTAATCGAATACTAGAATTTAATTGTCACTCTTATAACGCACGCATGGTCCCACAGTGAGGAGCGCACTTTTGCAACAACGAGACATGAACTAGAGACCCTCGGTCCTGCACACTAACTACTACCCCATGCCTGGTATAGTAACAAGTAACCTTTAAGAAAGAACAGTGAAATACAGGCTTCTAAAATGAATGTTAAATCAGTACTTCTTGAACCCGCGCGTTATAAAATCCGTTAAAGACTGCGATACTCACATCTCTACTCGTTCAACTTTAACTCCCCAGGGGTCTGTGCCTTCGTCCAAAGTAGCCTGCATCACGTGACTAATGCTCTCTCTCTCGGAGAGAATTTCAGATAAAGTTTTGCTTCCCAGAAAATTCCTAAGTGTGGTTGCCGCTAGGTAGCGCGTCGAACAGCCGTGATCCTCGACATTCGTTACAGAAATAGTAGCATCTTTAATACGGTAGTAAACTACAGCTTCAACTGCTACTGTTACGGAGTCCTTTGTAAGAATCTACAGAGAAAGGAAATATTCTAGTTTATTTTAAATCCAGTTGATAACTTTTACCCACATTAAGCCTAAAGACGCAGAACGAGTTCACAGATTAAACACGGAATTTTCAATTAACCAATTATGAGTGTAAATCAACATTTACATTTTTGTTTTGTCTATTTTTAAGGTCCATAAATAAATAAAAATATTTTGTTTTGTTTTGTTTTTGTAATTAAGCACAAAGCTACACAATGGGCTATCTGTGTTCTGCCCACCACGGGTATCGAAACCCGGATTCTAGTCTTTTTGTTGTTAGGCAAAAAACTACACAATGGACTATCTGTAGATTCTGCTCTCAGCGGGTATGGAAACCCAATTTTTAGCGTTATAAGGCAGTAGAGAGTTAAAGCAAGAACATTCTTATAGCAATCAAACATTATTAAACGTCAAAACACTAGCCACTGTGCTATGTCTAAATGTATTATTTTTGTCCTATTATTTTTTTTCGATTCAATAAGAGGTTGTAAATCCTAGATAAAAACCGAGAAGTGTACATTTTGTTAAATTTAACCAGAAGCCACTTCAAATTTAAGATAATTTTTTCGCTTTGCAGTTACTGAAATAGACTTCGTATACGCATTTATGTGTTATGTGATTTTTGCATTAAATTATCGTTTACGTTTTCCTGGTTTCTAAGCTCTCAAAAACCAAAAAAAAATATTTTTCCATATAATTTGGATCCGAGGCAGACCAGTGGCGCCCCCTACTCTTTAATGTGTTTTCAGTTAAATTCAACATTTTCTGATTTGGTTTGTTCTGAATTTCGCGCAAAGCTACACGAGTGCTATTTGCACTAGCTGTCCATGATTTAGCAAAAAGAGACTAGAGGCAGCCCAGTCAACACCACCCACCGCCAAACCTTGGGCTACTCTTTACCAACGAAAAATGGGATGTTATAACTCCCCTATGACTGAAAGGGCGAGCATGTTTGGTTGGACCATCAGATTGGAGTTAAGCGCCCTAACCACCAGGCCATGCCACATGCCAGGCCTAACTTTTTCTGACACGAGTATTAAAACTCGTATGTTGATAGTGGTTAGGACTAATTGTTTATTCCAGTTAAGACTTCTTACATTAAACGAATTCCTGAAACTGTTCAGGTTCGATTCCCCGGCAGAGCACTGATAGCCCATTCTCTAGCTTTGAGTTAAAAGACGTAATCCCCCCTCCCTGGTGAATTAACAGTAAGTTTATAGATTTATAACGCTAAAATTCGAGGTTCAATCCCCTTAGTGGGCACAGTGCAGATAGCCCATAACGTACTTTTGCGCTTATACCAAACAAAAAACATTTCTAAATATGTTCATGGAAAACAAGAGAAATTACACTCAAGATGTTTAAAATGTTGTTGAGGTAACCTCCTCCTCCTGCACAGTCAATTTCTAGATCTTAAAATGTCAGAATAGAATAAGCTTGGAGAAAAATTAGAATGTTCGTAGGTATGCATATTTTTCAGTCTTAAAATAGCAGTAATAAGATTTCGTCAATTAATAGATTTTCGCAATTCAGTAAATGTTTCATTTGAATACTTATCAAAATAAACTTAACAAGTCTCTGAAAATACATAGCTGGAATTATCCTGCTACATCTGTAGACAGGCCACGTGGGTCTATTGGTTAAAGCTCGTGAAACGCCAGTGATACTATGACACTATTTGAGTATACAACAACAACAACAGTGAAGACAACTGTATAGAATTCATATTCTCTGTATCTGTTGGTAACGTATATTTTACAAAGTTAAAACTGAATTATGGCGCTGCCTCTTAATACCCCCCCCCCAGTGGCACAGCGGTATGTCTGCGGACTTACAATGCTTTGTGCTTAACTACAAACAAACAAAGCCTCTTAATAAACAGTTTTCGTGGATGTGGTGAACTTGTGAAGACTACTGTATAAAATGTATATTCTCTGTATCTGTTGGTAACGTATATTTTACAACATTAAAATTTTATTATGGTGCTGCCTCTTAATACCCCCCCCCCCCCTCCAGTGGCACAGCGGTATGTCTGCGGACTTACAATGCTTTGTGCTTAACTACAAACAAACAAATCCTCTTAATAAACAGTTTTCGTAGATGTGGTGAACTTGTAGGAAAGTAAATCTATAATTAACATGTTCATTAAACACGTAAAGCAAACCTAGCAATGATGTCACTTAGTTTGTCAGCTTTTAAAAATCGTATAAAAATCGTATTATATACATATGTGTGCACATGTAGGGGGTATTCACACTGCAGCCTGCAGTTGTTTTCTATCAACCTTCGCTCTTGGAGTGCTACATTTAGTCTGATTTTACTTTTCTGGCTAAGTAGACCGTCTTAGCGACATAGTGTCTGTAGTCGGTAATAAAATACGTGAAGCCGACGTCAAACGAAAGTGATGTTTAATGCACGGACAAACGGTTCTTGTGCTATGGTTCAAAATAGTGGAAGAGGCGGCCCATGCCCCTCTTATAGCATTACGTTTAAAGCCTGGCATTGACCGGTGTCTTTGCTAGTACAACGATATACTCACCTCTTGTGGGGGAACATCAAAGGACACTGTTCTTAGGTCAACTTTGTGATAGGTATCGATGCAAGGGATGATAAAGAAGATACCTAGAAAATGGAAAGACTCGGTCAAATAACAATCTTTATGTCAGAAATCGTTGTCTAAGGAGCACAGCCAAAAATATTAGTATAATTGACAACTTACAATTCAGTAGACAATTGTCTGGAAGAAAACCACGAGAAAATGCTTAACTTGTGGCTGTAATGGAAATCATAGTACTAGGAGTAGAAGGAAGTATATTCCTGGTTTTAAGATACAATAAATACAAAAACCGCTTATCTATACTGTAATACTGTGTATGTAAATATGACTTTTATATTAGATATAATTGGTGAGTGCCGGCCTAGTAGGTAAAGGATAATAAATTTGTTTGTTTGTTTTTGAATTTCACACCATTGTGTTGCTTTGTGCTCAACTTCAAGACAAACAAACAAATCTATAAAGTTCTCAGAACTTATGAGCGAAAGTAAAGAAGAATTGTCATATCCAGTGCCGACGAGACCTTTCGTTCAATACCAGGACTCAACAGGCCGAGTATGATACAAAGGGCGCAGTCGTTACGTTAAACTACATTTGGAAATGTTTACAATTACAAAAGTCACCTTGGATTTTTTGGAAGATAGACACCACCGATCGTACTTATCGCTATCGTTTTGTACATACATATGTGCGATTTATATACTTTTTCTTATCAATTTTACAATTAATTGTTTCAACCATCTTGCTTTTCATATATCATGGTATTCGAATGTATTAAATCTGTAATGATCAGTAGATGACTGTTAAACAAAATTATGTTTTGGCTAAATTTTTTCTTTGTATAATTCTTAATGTGTGTAAAGTTTCTCGATATGCTGTTCCGAATATTGGGCCTGACGTGGCTTGGTGTTAGGGCGCTCGACTCGCAATCCATGAGTCGTGGATTCGACTGCCTTCACCGAACATTCCCGCTCTTTCAGCCATGGAGGCATTATAATGTGACGGCCAATTCCATTATTCGTTGGTAAAGAGTAGCCCAACGGTTAGCTGCGTCTCACTTCTACATCAGGGATGCCTAGTGCAAATAGCTCTCGAGTAGCTTTGCACAAAATTCAACAAGGGCCTGGCATGGCCAGGTGGTTAAGGCACTCGACTTACAATCCGAGGGTCGCGGATTCGAATCCTCGTCACACCAAATATGCTCGCCCTTTCAGCCGTGGGGGCGTTATAATGTGACGGTCAATCCCACTATTAGTTGGTAAAAGAGTAGCCCAAGAGTTGGCGGTGGGTGGTGATGACTAGTTGCCTTCTCTCTAGTCTTACACTGCTAAATTAGGGACGGCTAGCGCAGATAGCTCTCATGTAACGAAAAACGAAATTCAACAAACAAACCGAATATGGCACTATTTAAGTTATAGGGGCATTTAATTTTTTAAACGCGTATTAAAATAATTATATTTCATATAACCATAGTTACTAAGTGTGTTTTGCTTATATATATATATATATATGTTTGTGTCTGAAATAGAAAGTTTGTATCTAAATATATGAAAATATAAACATTTACCTGCACCCTTGGCCCCGTCACGCTGTATTCTACCAAGGCGAAAAACCACAACTCTCTGATACTCCTGAACGATCTAGTTATTAAAGGTAAATGTCAAAAACAGATGATTACATAGAACTGTAGACGGACAGACCACTCGAGTTAGATCAAGTAACAAAACAATCATTTCTCTACGTAATAGAAGAACTGTAACTGTATCAAAGCACTTAATAATATTCGTATATTTCTATAATTACAATATGGAATCATACCTTTTCTGAAGGCACCTAGTTAGTTTCTGTACTTCTTTAATTTGTAAATAAAACAGAAGACAGTCACAATAAATACTGTTTTAAAATACGGTAAATAAAGTTTATCCAGATTTTGGTAACTTACTACACTGTTTTAATTTGTAAATAAAACAGAAGACAGTCACAATAAATACTGTTTTAAAATACGGTAAATAAAGTTTATCCAGATTTTGGTAACTTACTACACTGTTTTAATTTGTAAGTAAAAGACGAATTTTATCCAGATTTTGGTAACTTACTACACTGTTTTAATTTGTAAATAAAAGACGAAGTTTATCCAGATTTTGGTAACTTACTACACTGTTTTAATTTGTAAGTAAAAGACGAATTTTATCCAGATTTTGGTAACTTACTACACTGTTTTAATTTGTAAACAACAGACGAAGTTTATCCAAATTTTGGTAACTTATTATACTGTTTTAATTTGTAAATAAAAGACGAAGTTTATCCAGATTTGGGTAACTTACTACACTGTTTTAATTTGTAAACAACAGACGAAGTTTATCCAAATTTTGGTAACTTATTATACTGTTTTAATTTGTAAACAACAGACGAAGTTTATCCAGATTTGGGTAACTTACTACACTGCTTTAATTTGTAAATAAAAGACGAAGTTTATCCAAATTTTGGCTTTCATAAAAAACTGTACAGATCAAATAAAACTCACAGTGCTTTAGATTATCTTACCTTTACACAAAGTATCAATGAAAACGGAAAGGTGACGATTAACAATAATATAGATAATGCTGTAAGAATATAAGCACAAATCCCTGGACTTTCCCCAGAACTAGCTGTTAAAGAAATGTAATCATCACGTTAGTTTATTTTCATTCATATTCCACGTCATAAAAGTAAACTAAAGTAAAAATAAAATCAAAAAACAAGGTATTTGATACCGATCTTAAATTCACATTATTTGATTAGAAATACACCAACAAATATATAGAAAAATCAATCAATAGCCTAGTAACCGTGACAACACCTCATACCCAGTCCCCACAGCCTTAATGAAACGTTGAATTAAATTAAACTCATATCTAGTGAGGATGTGATTACCAATATGTAACACTAATATAGAGAAAAACCTAAAATAAAAACTGAATACGTACATCATCTAAACGTTTCTGTTGTAAATACGTACATCAACTAAACGTTTCTGTAGTAAATACGTACATCAACTAAACGTTTCTGTTGTAAATACGTACATCAACTAAACGTTTCTGTTGTAAATACGTACATCAACTAAACGTTTCTGTAGTAAATACGTACATCAACTAAACGTTTCTGTTGTAAATACGTACATCAACTAAACGTTTCTGTTGTAAATACGTACATCAACTAAACGTTTCTATTGTAAATACGTACATCAACTAAACGTTTCCCTTTAAATAAGCACACCAATTAAACGTTTTCTCTTTAAATAAGCACACCAATTAAACATTTTCTCTTTAAATAAGCACATCAGCTGAACGTTTCCCCTTTAAATAAGCACATCAGCTAAACGTTTCCCCTTTAAATAAGCACACCAATTAAACATTTTCTCTTTAAATAAGCACATCAATTAAAAGTGTGACGACTAAAAAAAATACGAGACTTTAAAATGCACTTAACAAGATGAAATCATTATGTAGTTTTGAACTAGTTACAGTCCTCGTATTTTCAAAACAGGCTTAAGAATCTCACCATTCACGCTGTATCCAGTGGGATTCAGGTTTGTGCGACCATATTTATCGGAATTCTCCATAGTGAAAAACGCGCGATGAGTTGACATAGGCTTTTCAGCTAGCTATCTTCTTGTTGTAAAGTGCCAGTTAAGAAGAAAAAAGTAGACTGGGTGGATCTCGCTCATTGAGCCGCCAGTGTTTCTTTTAGGAACTAGGTAACTTATTATTTGGGAGATGAATTTCAGCCGTCATGCCATCGAGACATGTTTACTCAACTAATTTAGTTATTTAACTGACCATGCCAGCTATTGCACAACCAATAGCGTTGTTGCACAAAGAGCAGATGGCGTGTAAGTAAAATTATGTTTAAAAAAAAAAAGAACGTTTTCACGTGCAATACGTCACATATTCCGAAGTATTGTTATTAATAGCACGAATTGAGATAATTTTTCGTATAGCTTGATGTTGCTACAAATGACCCAGAAGGACGATGAAGGGTGTGATATGTCGTTACTTGAAGCACCACTGTCACGTGATTGGTTATGTTCAGCCCTCATCCACGTGACCCGAACTATAGAAAAACTCTGAGCAAGGTTCCGGGGTGTGTACATTGGAAACACGGACTGTTTGTTCTGATTGTTCTTATTACTACTACATGTTACCGCGTGTCATGGAGAACGTTTTAAAATTTCACTTCACATTTTATTAAAAAAACTATTCTGTCTATGTTTTGTAAGATCGTATTTTAAATATCCACCGCGTCTCAACGGTAAAGTTGAGGGTTTATAATGCTGAAACTCAAGGTTCGATCCTCGCGGCTTTTACGGACCAGATAGTCTGTTGTGCAGAGCTGCGTGAAAACAAACAAAATTCGCTAGAAACGTAGAAAATATTCTGTTCCCAAATATTGTAATAAATATAATTAATAAATAATGAATTTTAACCACTAATAAATAAACATACAAGAACAATAAAAACATCGGTTTGTTCATAGTTCACAAACTAATTTCTTTAATATATTACACACACAAAAAAAAGCCGAGCATAGCCTTGTGGATAGTCGCCTGGCTATGGATCGTTAGGTCTAAGGTTCGAGTTACGGTATGTCACTAAACACGCTCCACAAATTCAGTTGTGAGGACCTTATAATCGTCACAGCTAATCCCTCTGTGTAGGTGGCGAGGTGGGTGCTGCTAGTTGTTGTATTTTCTCTTATCAGCAGTTCTAAATCAGGGATAGCCGTGTCAGAATGTTAAAGGTCTATATGGTTAATATTGCGAAAACATTTTTTTTTTTTGTTATGGTGGGAGAATAAATGGATGCGAACATTAAACCCACAGATCCATAGTCCGGCACGTTAATCTCTAGGCCACGCTCGCCCCCACCCCCCAGAGTTGAAATTTGATCTTGAAAAAAAAAGACAAAACTACACAATAAGCTGTCTGTGCTGTATCCACCACGGGTATGGATAAAAGTTAGGAAAATACTTGAATGGGTAATGAAGAAAACTTTATTACAGGTGTACAACGTACTGATGTTGACGTAATGAAGAAAACTTTATTACAGGTGTACAACGTACTGATGTTGACGTAATGAAGAAAACTTTATTACAGGTGTACAACGTACTGATGTTGACGTAATGAAGAAAACTTTATTACAGGTGTACAAC